GGCCTAGAATGACCACATATAACTGAAAGGCAAAGGCTTAGGAAGCAAGGATGCTTTCTCTCTTTCACACGAGAATCCTGGAAATAGGCAACGATGGGAGTCATGAGTAGGCTTTTCAGCTGAGCCAGTGAAGCCATGTTCTGAGCTTATCAAAACACCCTCCACTAGGGAGGAGCTGACTTAAAGAGGCCCTGTCTCAACAATAAAAAAAAAAAAAAAAAAAAATTAAAAGGGCTGGGGATATAGTTCAGCAGAAAGGTTTCTGGTTCAATCTCAAGTATTGCAAGAAAAAAAAATGAATTCAAATCAACCAACATTTGGAGGAGGCTTAAGCAGCTGTCCTATGGGGCCTCTTTCCTTTAGTATCCAAATGGAGTGGCATGGGGACTCCATCTCTTATTCTGGGTGAAGTTCAGCACCACATGTCAATGCCAGAGACCAAGGCTGGGGCTGGTGTTGTGCCTGGCTGCTTCTGGCTCCCAGCCTTCCTCCCACTGCCAGCTCCACTCTGAAGATTGCCAGTGGCCTGCAGCCCCATGGATGTCCTGCACTAGGCCACCTTTCTGATCCTTTCATTCTGAATGGAGCCACAGGCTCAGAAATGTGAAGACTCTGAAGAGTGTGGAGCTATGGAGGGAGGTGACAGCACAGAGCTGAGCAGGTGACAGTTGCCAGCTGAACCATATTCCACACCCCCAGTGTTACTTGGTTACTTCTCCCTCACAGGAAGCACCCCTTTTACCACCCTAATTCATGTCCCTTTCCTTCTTATAAGCTCAGTATGCCTTGAGACCTTTCTCTTTTCCTCCCTGGCTGCCATCTCCAAAATCACTGCTACTTTTTTTTTTTCTTAAATTTTATGTATTTGGTACAGGGTCTCACTATGCAGCTCAGACTTGTAGTGATTCTCCTGTTTCAGCCTCCCCAGTGCTGGTATTACAGGTGTGTATCACCATGCCCAGTCTCTGTGACTGGCTTGGGGCACCCAGGGAGGGGCTGGTGTGGCATGTGATCCCAAGGATTGAACCTGGGTCCTTGCACTTGCCTAGACAGGCACTTAGCCCACTGAGCTATCTCTGTGTCCCCACCATTATTTTCTACTAAAGAGATGTGTAACCCTTGTCTCCTCACCCAAACCGCATTCCAGGCCCCTTTGCAATGCCTATGAAATGCAGGAACTCCAGGGACCTGTGAGGAACCTCAGGAGTACTTTGTACTTTCTTTTTGTCTCCCTTTACTAGGAAATAAATCCAGGACTTACACAATGAGCTATAGTCCCAACCAGTTTTTGAAAATGTTTTTTTGACAGGATCTAATTACATTGGTAAGTTGCCCAGGCTGGGCTTGAATTTGCCACCCTCCTGCCTCTGCTTCCCTGGATCTACCACCTTAGTGACCATAACACAGCCCAGGGAGTTACTCTCTTTCCATACAGACCCCTATGATGTGCTGTGCTGTGTTGGGCACTGAATCTGGAGATTCAAGGTGGGTGAGACTCCAGCCTCAGTGGGGGTCCAGCAGCGACATTGGTCTCCTTATTTAAAAACAAAGAGTGCCAAGTGAGTGCAGGAGAGCAAAGAATGCCCTGGTTACTGACAGCAGAAAAATAGCTGAAGAAGGCTTCCTCTAGAAAGTGCTATTTAAAGGGAGTCAGATCAGATGGCTTAACTTGGGGCTGGGACAGCCAGCGAGGGTGATGTGGTTTTAAAAATCCTCCCTCCCCATGTTTGACAGATTTCACCTAAACCAGCCTTGCTAAATCTCCAACCACACGCAACACGTTTGTTATAATCTCTCTCTCTTATCTCTCCCTTGCCTTCCTCTCTCATTCTCCTCCCCCAAAGGATGGGAAATCTTCAAAGAAAAAGACGTGTCGCAGTAAGGATACAGCCCAAGAAATGGGCCAGATAAATTATTAAAACACATAAAAAGGCAGTGAGCTGTGGGGTCGGCAGTCCCTGAGGTGGAATAGCCGCCCCAGCTGGACTGTGTGCTTGTGGTCTTCAGAGAGTGCCTCCACAGAGTCTGGACAGCCTAACACCTCCCCACACAGCCCACCTCTGTGGATTCTCATCCAGGGACAATGTGTGGGGGTGTCCTATCCCAGTCCCAGCAAGACCCCAAGTGCCTGGCAGGCCAGGAAGCGCCAGTCCCAAGGTGAAGGGGGCCACAGCGTCTGGACATTTGGGATTTACTTCCCTTAAGACTCAAGCTGGTAACTGCTGAGCTTTAGTTCTTGCTTTTATCTCTTTTTGAACTGTAAAAAGAAATTCCCAAGGGGTAAGGGGGATACTGTTTTCTCACGAAAGAAGAAAGCCGTGACCGTTTTTAAGGAAGTAACCAACTTTTTAAGCACTGTGAGAAAGCGCTCAGAGTTGTGCTTTGATTTTGGTGCACCCTGACATGGTGGGGGCGGGGTGAGAAAGCACCCCAAGTGAATTCCACTTCCATGTGAGGGGCTCCAGATTCAGAGACTCAAACCCTACCTGGTGCTAGGCCTGACCCTGTTGTTGTGCTGTATTCTTTCAATGTCTTCCAACCCAGGGATTCTGACAGCTGGGGCTCTCTAGTAGGAGATGCTCCTGGATATTGCCAAGTGTCTCCCACGGAGCAAAGTTGCATCATTGACTCATTCATTATGGTGACTGTGTACACCTATCTTCTATCCAGTGTATGCCGAGGGTGATGATGAGGGTGCAATTGTCCGTTTTGTTCTCTGATAAGTATTTTAAATGCCTAAGACAGTGCTTGCCACATGAAATACCTTAGCAGGTATTTCTTTTCTTAAAAAATTTTTTTTAATGTTTCCTTTATTTCTTTTAATGGTCAGCTCAGCTCACCCTGGGGGCGGGGCTGGCATGGCATGTGGTGCTGGGGATCGAACCGAGGTCCCTGCATGCTTGCCTAAGCTTGCCTAAGCAGGCGCTTTAGACCACTGAGCTATCTCACCAGCCCAATGATATTTGTGATGACTTTTTCTTTTTCTTTTCCGGAACTGGGGATTGAACTCAGGCCCTTGCGCCTGCCAGGGAAGTGCTTATTCCACTGAGCCATCTCCCCGGCCCTTAGTAGGTATTTCTGAATGGAGGCTTTCTCTCTACTGGTAGGACATTAGGTTTGCAATGTGGCAGGGCAGTCTGCTGTAGTAAGATGAGCATGAACAGTGCAATCAGCAGACGTGGGCTCAGGTCCTAACTGCCTCACCTACTAACTCTGTGACTTTGGGCAAGTGACAGCACCTCTCTGAGACTAGTTAAGGTTTTTCTCCATGTCTGCATCAGTCGGTGGTTATGAAGGGCTGTACAAATAGCACAACGATAGGCATTGAGTAGATGCTGGATGAAGAATCACTGGCATGGCCTTACTTAGCGTAACTGCTTATAAGAATAGCAGTTATTTCCTCCAAATGGGTGAGGTAGGGTTTGGGGTTGAAATGGCAGAGCAGGGGTGGGGGTGGTAAACGTGGACTCTGGATGGAAGAAACTGCAGGATGGAGACACTTACGGTGGGGGGGGGCACACTATTCTCAGTGTCTTTTCACTTTTTTCTTTTCTGGTATTAAGTCTTGCTGAACTGCCCAGGCTGGACTTGTGACCCTCGTACCTTAGCCTCCCAGAGTTGTAATCCAGAGCCTGGGATTACAGGCTGAGATGGGTGGCTGCTGAGCTGTGCTGCCCAATACCGCAGCCACTTGCTGCATGCTAAGGATCTTTTACGATGTGGCTGATCTGGGCTGAGGTGCATTTTGAGTGAAAAATACGCCCTGGGCTTTTAACGAGTGCAAAGCAAAGAGTATGACATCTTACATGTTTAAAGATTTTTTTTTTGACATATTGGGTCAAATAAAATATTAGCATTAATTTCACCTATTTCTTTTTACTTTAAAAATGTGGCTACCAGAACATCTAAAATTATACATGTGGACACAGTGGCAGGTGAAAAGGGCAGAATGGGGTCTCCATTCTACAGAACATGGAACTAGGGCTCTCACAGAGTATTCAGCTCAGAAGGGAGAGGTGCTCCGTTCACTGAGATCCGGGTTTTTTGGGCTTTGATTTTTTTTTTTTCCACGCTCAAGCCGTCTGATACCAGGGAGAGCTTAACACAGGCCTAAGGTGTCCCCAGCAGAGCATGCATTCTCTCGGAGAACCACAAAGGTGGGGTGGAACCCCTTGATGTCGCCCTCCTCTCCGCAGAGACCTCCCCAGACAAAACAAACAAGCCCTTGGGTCTGGAGAACTGCAGGGGGAGCGGAAACCAAGAAAGATCAAAGACCCAGCGGTTACCCCCTTCCGGGCCGCGCAGCTTGGCAGCTTGCCCCGACCCCAGGCGGGCACCCACCGGCCCCTAGACGGGAGGAGATCTGAGCGATCAGCTGACAACTCAGGGCTGCAGGACACTTGTCGCCTCCATGAGCGGGCTGGACCCACAATGGACCGAGATGCGGAGGGGGGTTTCTCCAGGATTAATAAAAAACTAGAGGAGGAGGGACAAGGGCTGGAAGTAAGTAAACACTTTTTGCCGGAGTCAGGTCGTGGGAAGACTGCGGGAGCGTAGTAGACGCTTGCACCAGAGCCGCTGTGGTCACCTCGCTCTACCTCAGTTTTCCAACCTATAAATTGGAGAAGCTCAATCCTGTTCTCCCCGCTTGGAGGAAATAAAGAGGAGGGGAGGCACCGCACTGTTAAGGAAGGAAGCGGCTGTTCTGCTGGCCAAAGTCTCGGCACCTGGTCCCTAAGCCGCTGCGGTGGAGGTGGATCCCAGCTAGGAGCCCTCAGGCCCCGCCCGCTCCGCCCCAAG